TCGCAAAAATTACTTTTCGGAAATTTGACAATTCGTAAAAATGGCTATTCGCAAAAATGACTTTTCGGAAAATTGACAATTCGCAAAAATGGCAATTCGTAAAAATGACTATTCGCAAAAATGGCTTTTCGCATAAATGACATTTTACAAAAATGTCTTTTCGTAAAAATGACAATTCGCAAAAATGAGTTTTCGAAAAATTGACAAATCGCAAAAGTGACAATTCGCAAAAATGACATTTCTCAAAAATGACAATTCGCAAAAATGACTAATCGTAAAAATGACATTTCAGAAAAATCTCTTTTCGCAAAAATGACATTTCACAAAAATGTCTTTTCGTAAACATGACAATTTGCAAAAATGACTTTTCGGAAAATTGACAATTCGTAAAAATGTCGATTCGCAAAAATAACTTTTCGGAAAATTGACAATTCGTAAAAATTGCGATTCGCAAAAATGATAATTCGCAAAAATAGCTTTTCGAAAAAATGACAATTCGCAAAAGCAACATTTCGCAAAATTGGCTTTTCGCAAAATTGACTATTCGCAAAAGTGCAGTTCGGTAAAATGACATTTCGGAAAAATGACATTTGGGGAATAATCATGCGCCCCTTAATAATTTTATTATTATACTGATAGAAAATAATAATTTACAAAAAGCATCCTATTTATATTACATTAGGCTAATTTATATCATTTGACTAATTTATACCACAATTTATGATTATGTTATGTATTTTTGTTGTTTTCTTAACAAAATGGGCTGTCGAACGAACTCAGGCTTCATTTTTATGGACTAAAAAAGTTCACAAAATTTCAAGTCGATTTTGAAAACTTTGATTCATCCCCTCTACCTATATCTACGATTGGAACCAGTAATTAATCCATCAATGAATCCAGTAATTTTTTTTCATAAGGGACAATAAAATCTTATTTAATTCACATGAGGACGAACCAAAAATTTTATTGTTTGTTATATTTTTAAACTACTAGAGAAGAGCAGTGTTGTTACTAGTACATATCAAGTCTGCCATGACAAATTTCCACCCGCGTAGCACCTCGTTCTAATTAACTTTTTACAAGTGTCATGTTTCATAATAGGGGAGATATTCGTGAAGCAATAATCGTTGAATATACTCTAAATGTAAATTCCTTTTCAAGTCTGAAGGAGATACGTTTACCAATCCTCCCCCCCCCTCTAAGTCCTTTTCTTATAGTCCAAGAATTTTTCAGGACGGGTCGCATTGAGGCGGTACTCTCGACTGCGAATCCTCGCAAAAAAGAAACTTCTCTACAAAAATGCAACTCTATAAATACTTCTTTCCTACACATATATATGGATGACCATAAACACAAATACACAAAAAGCATCGTAACCTAAGGGGGACTGGGATTAAATTAATCTACTTGATTAAAAATTTTATTCATACTTTTTTCTTGTTTATGAACTATTATCAATTCTAACAAGTCTATTTTTATAACTCACCCTACAATTTTTTTAGGTATTACTCTTAAAAATATAAAAGAAATCTTACTGTAAAACTTTTTATTGTTAATCTTTGTTTTGGGTTTTATTGTTTCCCTTAAATATTATCTTTCTCTTCAACTAATTCGAACTTCATTACCATCATTTTATTTCTTATTCAGACAGTAAGATTTATTTCTGAAAGATGTCACCAGAGAGGAATCACACCGGTTTTCAAAAAAAAGATTCCTGGAATGTTTCATAAAAATAACATGATGTACTTACTATTAATAAATCGTTTGTAATTCCTACGTGTCATCGTGTTGTGGAAATTTTTATAAATGATAAACTTCAACCTCTAGGGGTGGTTTTCTTTACAGTTAAGGATGATTCTTAAAAAATCAATAAAAACATTTTAAATCCTTTCGATTAGTTTTTTATTAAAGGTCGATTTTTTAATAATAAATAAGTAATAAATTTCCTTCAGATTTTTACTAATTTTCAGTAAGTATTTTTATACAGTTCACTATGATTAGGGTATATATGTATTTGAGTGCCTATGGAAGTCAAAATTTTCTTTTCTACCCTTGTGAGAATTTTAATTTATTCTTTATTTGCTTAATTTATAATTCGTATTAAATTCAAGTGGAGTATCATGCCAATTCCTAGTGAATTTTTAAATAATTTTTTGTTAAATTTCGCTAGAAATTCGAGATTAATTTACATAAGAAATTATTAATAAATTCGTTAGGAATTCGCAAGATTAGTGAACAAAATTCTTTCTGAAAAGTGGTCGGGAAATGTAAAAAAATCCAAACTTATTGATTTTTTTAAATTTCCTCTTTTTCTTAGACTTTATATCGATATTATAACATCTGACTCATCTGTGTATAATTTCAAATTTTTAAATCCGCTTTCGAAGGTCCGAAAACTGATAAAAATAAATAATTAAATTAAATTTTAATAATTAAAAAAAAAATTTTATAGAAATGATGGTCTTCAAGAATGTCAAAGCTTTGAACATTCTAATGAATAAAAATAGAAATCTTATAATTGGTTTCTATATATTACTAAGATCTATGGATTTTTTTTATCTATTATTATAAAAATATGAAAGGTTTATTATAGTTCTTGTAATTTTGGGTAAAAATTTGTCTAGCGGAAAAGCTTAATTTATTCCTTAAAATATTTTGCAACTCCGTCAGATTGTAGTGTTGGTGAACCCCTTTGATATATGTAAATGCTGCAAGTTGAGTATGACTGGTTGTCAAGATACAGGGGTTGAAATATTTCTATGTTAACCCCGCGCGCTATTATTCAATTGATCATAACTTTTATCTTGACATTTTTTCTAAAAAAATGGATAGTTCCAAAAATGTGATCGAAATAATTGGAATTTATATAAATTTTATATATTTATAGGTGATGCACATCTATAAAATTGGGTTGCGGTAACTAGACGTGCAACTCATAAAAAAATTGATGTACTTTCACTTACACTTTTACTTTTTCCAAAACTAAATTTAATTTTCACTTACACTTTCACCAAAACTGAATTTTATTTTCATTTACACTCTCACTAGAATTTTCACTTATCCCTAACTTTTGCTTTCACCTAAAAAATTTTTCGCTTTCAATTTCACCACAAAATTTTAACTCTAAAAATAAAAATTTTCACTTTAAATTATATTTAAATATTTTCACTTTCCCTTAAAGAATTTTCACCTTTATTCAAAAAATTCTCACTTTCAGTTTCACCGAAAAAACCTTTCACTTTCAATCAAAAGATTTTGGGTGAAATTGTAAATTGGAATTTTTTCAGAGAAAATAAATGTTAAAATAATTTGAGTGAAAGTAAAAAAATTTTGCGTCAAATTCAAAGTGAATTTGAGTGAAAGTGAAAATATTTTCGGTGAAATTCAAAGTAAAAAGTTCTTGATTGAAAGTGAAAATATATTTTGTAAAATTAAAAATATATTGGGTGAAATTGAAAGTGAAAATTTGTTGATGAAATTGAAATTAAGAATCTTTTAGAAGTGAAAAAAATTCTTTTTTTTAATGAAAGTGAGAATTTTTTATGTGGTGGTGAAAATTATCTAAGCAAAGGTGAAAAATTTTTCGTGAAAGTAAACAATTTTTTAATGAAATTAAAAGTGAAAATTTGTTGGGTACAATTGAAAATGAAAATGTTTTGTCTGAAAGTGAGATATTTAATTTATTAATTTTAGTTTTAGTGTGAATGAAAGTGAGATTGTGAGTGAAATTAATTAAGTTTTGGTAAAAGTGAATGTCACATTGTATATGTAAAGTAACTTTAGTTTTAGTAAAAGTGAAGTGAGAGTAAGTAAAAATTAAATTTTTGTTCTGACGAAAATGTATTAGTGTAAGTAAAAATTTTTAGTTTCGCCAAAAGTGGAAACGAAAAAAATTTAATTTGGTAAAAGTGAAAGTGAGAGTATAAATGTTTTCATTTAAAACTTTTTGTTTTACTTTGGTGCAAGTGAAAGTGAGAATGTAAATGAAAATTAAATTTAGTTCTGGTCAAAGTGTATGTGTATTTGGCTTAGTAGTTATGCAGGTTAATTTTTTCAGTATAGTACAGGTAAATACAGATGTTGTCTCGTAAACTCAACATTTCCTGAATACTTCTAAGCCATTCAGGCTGCTGTCCAACAGGGGCAATCAACAATGCTGCTGCTGCAGGAAAAGGCTGTTTTATTAGAAAAAATTACTAAAAACTACTAGCAAAGTTCGGAACTAAAGGTACCTATATCATATGATACAAAAAATTAATTTTGTAAAATCCTGTTAATGACATTGAAAATTTTGAAAAAGTGTTTAATTGTTCTTTTTAGGTTGATATACATAATGGATAGTAATTATATACGGAAAACGAAGCTTATTGACCAAGAAATTGGTGGTCGTCTGAAGAAAATTGGTTAAACCTCTGATTCTAGTTCAGATGAATTTTGATACAATAATTGAAATTCAGAAAATGTTCAATACATATTTTTAATACTTGAGACATCAATATTGAATAGTCTAAATTCAATAAAATAAAGAAAACGAAAATTTACTGATTTTCTATAACATTTTTAGCATTCGGATTTTTTTAACTATCCTTGCCCCGGTGCTGGGGCAAGGATAGTTAAAAAATGTTGTTTACTTTTTCATTCGTATATCGTAGGAATTTGAGTCTACAGTAAAATAATGTATAATAAAATTATAGCCAAATAACCAGGCTTTCCAAAAATACTTTTCGTTTGCAGATACATATTCAAGTTTGTCCGCTAGATCCGAAAAGGTCTTACCTAAGTATCCTTGACCCATCCACCCTTATTTCTTTGAATTTTTTATCCGAAATTTAATGGGTAATTATCATATAAACATTCAGTATTAATTTCATAAAATTTTGAATTGTTAAAACAATTTTTTATTGTAAATAATAAACTTTTTTTTAACATTAACCAAGAAAATTCTAATTTTATTAAAAATATTTTCTTCGTTCGGCAACACTTCCCGACCCCTCTCTTACTTCTTCTCCTCCCAATGACTCTGACGTTTCTTCGTCCATGGTTCCTTTGCCCTCCTCCTCCTTCAGCGATGCTTCACTAATGGGCTCGATGACCACGTCTTCTGTTTCATTGATCCCGATGCTCGTCTCGTTGCTCTCTACAACATCATCATAGCACCATGGGATGCCTGCGAAACGACAATTGGGCCCTTGGTGTTGGCTCTCTACTCTCCATGTCCTCTTTCCGGAGCACTGGTTTCTTCCTATCTTTCATTGCTCTTCGCTGTTTAGCTCTGACCTTTTCCAAAGCTATCGTTGTCAGTGACTCTTGGAGATTTAGGAAGGTCTCCAACTCATATTCAGCGAGCCGACTTTCATATTCCTCCTGACTCTCGTTCTTCCTGCGATAGGCCGGCCATCGATAAGGCATCACCACTTCAGCACCATCGGATCGTATAGTTTCCAGCTTACTTTGGCATATTCTTAATCCGATTGAATCTGTCCAAGCATTCGGTGACACGATCGGTTCTGTTGTCGGACTCACGGCACTTTCTTCTTCCACAGAGCTGGCTCTCCTTACCACTTCCGATGACCCTTCTGGCTCTCCTCCATGGTTGAATCGGCGAACTCCCAAGGGTTCTTGTTCCACCCTCTCGACGATTTGGAATGAAAGATACGATGGGCCCTCCATCCTGGCGTCCCCGGTATCAAACTCCGGGAAAGGATGGTGCCTGAACTGTGACCTTCCACGCCTCTCCATCCTGGTTCTCTTATTTCCGAATTCCTCTGGTCGTCGTCCACTTCTCTCTCGTGCTCGACGGCTCCCCGGTGGCGTGTACGACATGACTCTACTCTCTTTTTCTCTCGACACACCCTTTCCGCTTCCGGCTCTTCGTTCGATCTAAAACAATTGGATTAATTTACTAAAGGAACATGGTAATTTACAAATTCGAGACAAGTAAGTATGGTTTTAGGTCAGTTATGTGGACTTTATGTACTCGTCGGCTTTGTTTGTCATGTAATATGAAAACGTTTGGCGGTAAGACCTCGGCAATCTTGTATGGACCCTCGTATTTCGGCGCTAATTTTGTCGCGAACTTTTATGCCCCACTAGAAAATTTGTAACCTTCTCGCAACACTAAATCGCCTACTTTATAAGTCACATCTCTCCTACCTTTGTCATAGTACTTTGTTTGTCTCGCCCGTTCTTTGTCAATGTGTCTTACTACTAGGTTTCTTAACGCGTCTACTCTCTTAACTCTATCTACCCACTCTTCTGGCTCTATTCTAACTACTTTTCTTTTACACTCGACCTCTCTTTGCAGACTCTTCACTGGCTTAGAATGTCTTCCGTAGTTCAAGAATGCAGGAGAAGTCTTAGGCTGGAGTCCCATGGCAGCGTTTTGCGTTGCGTTTTGTAACTAGGCCATGAGTGCAAATATAGCAAACATATATCTCCATCTCTCTCACACTCATTGCCTACACGGAGAGAAAAAAAAGAGAGCCGTTTGATTTGGCAAGAGAGCGCTGTTTTCCCTTTATAAAGCGCAGCAGTAGCGCCGCAAACGTCGAACGGTTATTCTTTTTGAGGAGTATCGGTTCTCTTCTTCACACAAATAGAGCCGCTTACTTTCCAAAAAGTGAACCCGCTTTCCCCAAAAAGGAGAACCGTTCTCCCCTCAAGAGTAAGCAGCGTGCTTAACCTCAAGTTGAACGGCTGTTTCGCATTTAACGCAACCGCTCTACCGACAGGTAGAGCCGTTTACTTTTTTTTCTCTCCGTGTAGTTACAAAACGCAACGAAAAACGCTGCCATGGGACTTCAGCCTTAGTTGCCGCTTGTGTTGCTGTGTTCACAGCATGGCGGAACTTGTGAACATGAAGATCCCAATTTCTATGATCAGCACCAATAAAGGTGGAAATCATAGTTTTCAGAGTCCTATTGCTCCTCTTGAGTGGATTGGCCAGTTAAATTAAAAATATTTTTATTTTCCTCTGAGCAATCGTTCATTCCATTTACTGAGTTTGGCAAATTCTATGAAAACTGAGTAAAAACAGAGAAAATTTCGATAATGAAGAAGAATATTACTACAAACCAGGATATAAATTTCAAATACTTCTGCGTATTTTCGGTACAACTGAATGCGAATACGATGTCAGATTTACCAAATCGTCTGCCATATGAGGCATTCTCTAACATAAAAGCCACCCTAAAAAATTTCTTTTTGGAAATGAAGTATGTTAAAGTATACATAAAAATAAGTATGTATAGTAGGTTTTTAGGTCTGTGTAATGCGTAGTTGCCATGTTATCAGGGGCTCAATTTTTTTCAGTATAATTTTCAAATGGCAATTTTCTCCCTCATTTTTCTCCTCTCTTTCCCCCCCCCTCCAATTTTTTCAAAAATACCCAAAAATGTTCCTTATTTTATAATCTTTTTACCCCTCAAAAGCCATTTTGGGACATTAAAATGCGTACAAGCTACAGATGATTTTGTAACCCGGTGCAACTCATCAATTTTGTCCTTATTATTATAATTTTTACCATAGTGTTGTGCAGTGACTGTCAGTTAGGAATTTTTTAGTAGAATATATTGTTTGGAACATGGGAAGTAGGTGTTTTACATTGCACTATTAAAAATTCATTATTTAAAAAAAATTCTAGACTTCAAATCTGTGTTTAATTACTTTAAAAAATACTGAATTACCATATGTATTAGGGTGGTTCTTATTTTTTAAAAATTGGAATTTCTTAGGTCGCTGGGCGGAATTTGAATTAAAATGCAAAAAAATAAGCTACCCACAAGAACAGCCCATTTGATAAATTGTAACCCGTGCCGACGAAGGGTTAAAGTTTAAATGGGGTTTAACATGGGTTTGGTGCACTTCTTCAAACTTTGTATTATAACTTTTTTATTTCTTAAAAATTTGACTTAGGTCTATGTATTCCCACAGTTTTTCATACGCTGAACACGAATATGATGTCAAAAATATCTTTTGACAGCTACCGGTTGTCAAAAAGCTGTCAAAATTCTGTCAACTTTTGAAAATGAGAGTTTTTACGACTTTTACAATAACTTCTACGAATAAAACGGTTTCTTGTGAAAATTTCAGTTTATATCTAGCAATTTAATACACTTTGACGGTGATAGCTGTCAACTACCAAAATATATTAAATACCTATATCAAATGGGCTGTTCTTGTAGGTAGCTCATTTTTTTCACATTTTAATTCTAATTACGGCCGGCGACCTAGGAAATTCCAACTTTTCCAAAATAAGAACCACTCTAATATGTATTTTTCTTATTCATAACACTTCATGTGATTAGAATATCACTGCTTTTATAGAATTTCGTTAATATCCGTTGATTTTTACACAGTAAATAAATATATGGCTGATTCTATTTCAATTCATGTAGGGCGAATAGGTTAAAAATTCTAAATCAAGTTAAAGGTAATTTTTCTTGTTCTCTAGGACAAATTCGAAAAATCAAAAAAGTCAATTTTCTCAAAAACATCATTTTTTATTTTTCTTAAAATTTTTGTGTGATTACTAGATAAAAAAGGAACTAATTTTAAAATGTTTCATGTCCGCTAAAACTGTTTGGAAGTCGCAATAATTTTTTTCAGAAAATAACAAATCTCATTATTTTCTCTCTAAATCTGAATCAGTGAAATTTCACTGATTCAGTTTTAGAGAGTTGATACGAGTATAAATGTATCGGCATATATATATATTTATTGCATGTTTATGTTTTTCGATGATTAGTAGAGTTTTAGGTACTTTTTATTTGCAAACTTAAAAATTTTTAAAATTAACAAAATGGCGACCGTTAAATTTTTTTGGTCGCCATTTTGAATTATAAAATTTTTACCAAATATTCTAACTCAGCGACCCCAAAAACCTCCAAATGAATATTTTTATTCAATTATTTTTAGTATTTTTAGTTTTTGATTTTTTGGAAAAGGGGAAAAGATTGAGAGAAAGATTGAGTATGACGACAGCGAGGAGAGCCATGTAAGTTGTAGGTGTAGTAGTGGGGGTAAAAGCGAAGACCGAATAAGTACAAAAAGTCGAAAAAGAAGCAATACAGAGCGCTGGTCAAGGAAGAACGTGGAGAGCCGAAGATCAATCTTAGATGACTCTACGAGTGAGTCTGAATCTGAGAGCGATCTGAACCAGAACATGAGTAGTGGGGGGGGGAATAAACAGAATGATTAAGTCCAGCCGAAGGTCCAAGAAGGTGATTAAAACACTAACGGACTGGAACTTAAAATTGTTTGGAGACGACGAAAATGCCGAGAAATTTTTGGAGCGATTGGAGGACTGTAAAGCTTGCTCAGAATTTTCTGACTGAGAAATTTTGCAAACACTGTCAATTATTCTCCAAAAGACCGCCAGCAGTTGGTTCAGGTCGTTGCGCCAGGAGATAAAATCTTGAAGATCATTTCAGAGGGCCTTCAAAAACGAGTATTTGGTGACGGTCGACGATGATGACGTCATAAACGAACTAAGAGCCAGGACTCAAGGTAAGGGGAAGAAAATCTCACCATACCTGACCAGCCTCAGACTGATTTTAGGTCACATGAAGCGACCTCTTAGCCAGAAAAAGCAAGTGAAGGTTGCTTACTAGCCTGGCCGCGATTTGTTAAGATATTTTTTTAATCTGGTGATATCATTGAGTGCCGGGCATAAAAAGTGTCCTTTTTACCTCAAGAAACAAATACGAAAATACTTAAGTTGATCTATAAATAATTAATGAACCCAAAAACTTAATAATATTATGGAAACAGAAATTTTATTGACATTTTGAATTTTAATATTAATTTCATAAAGTTTTGAATATCTCGGACTATTGTTTATGGATTTTTATGAAGTTTACACATTTTTCAGGTAAAAATGTGTACTTTAAAATAAAAATAATGTTAATAAAAAAGTAAGTTTTTAAAAATAATTTTTTTTTAAATTTTTAAACAATTTTTTTATTATTTACTTCTCTCTGAAAAAAATGTTATTAACATATTTGGATTCTTATGAATTCACCTTTGATTTAATAAAACAAAATTGATAAAGACTCATCTAGTTCCGGAGATATTGAAGTTTTTGTAAAAAAAGACTAGCTGCAGCAACAAGGTAAGCTTCGAATAAAAATCCAAAAGTTCTTGTCCATCTAATTTTTTTGTATCGTTTCAGTAAAGCCATACAATAATTTTAAGACAAAAAAGAAAAAATCGGTATATGAAATTTTGAATAAACTCAGTTTTTCGATTTAACTACAAACATCTAAATTTCAAATGGTTCTGCAGATTTTCGGTATAACTGGATACGAATTCTCTGTCAGATTTCCAAAATTCAAAATAGCGGATCGTATATGAGGCATTCTCTAACATAAAAGCCACCCTAAAAAAATTTCTTTTTGGAAATGAAGTATGTTAAAGTATACATAAAAACAAGTATGTATAGTAGGTTTTTAGGTCTGTGTAATGCGTGGTTGCCATATTATCAGGAGCTCAATTTTTTTCAGTATAATTTTCAAATGTCAATATCTTTTACCCATATCAATAGATTTTAAAGTTGTATAAGTGTTTTTAGTAGAGAATTTTCCAAACTTTTGAATGAAATTACTAATTATTTAAAAAAATGCAGTTTTATAAAAAAAATTTAAATAATTTTTTTTCAATTCCCCCCCCCCTTCAAATTTTTTCAAAAATATCCAAAAATATTCCTTATTTTATAAGCTTTTTACCCCTCAAAAGCCATTTTGGGACATTGAAATGCGTACAAGCTACAGATGATTTTGTAACCCGGTGCAATTTATCAATTTTGCCCTTATTATTATAATTTTTACCATAGTGTTGTGCAGTGACTGTCAATTAGGAATTTTTTAGTAAAATATATTGTT